GAATAGAATAGAATAGAATAGAATAGAATAGAATAGAATAGAATAGACCTTGGAGGTCTTCTAGTCCAGCCCCCTGCTCAAACATTAGAACCTATACCCATGATGGTGAACCTATGGCATGCGTGCCGGAAGTGTCATGCAGAGCCACTTCTGCCGGCACATGAGAGGTTACCCAGAAGAGCCCCACTTCACATGCATGCGTGCCCCCACCAGCCAGCTGATTGTCGGGTATCTGTCGCACATAGGTGGGGATGCATGTGCATGCGCATAGCAAGTGCTATATGGGGAGGTTGCGTGTGCATGCACAGAGGTGTGTAGTACAGGGGGTTCGTGCACACATGCACAGGGTGGCGGGGGAGTTGCACGCATATTGCATCATGGGTGCAGGCATGCGTGTGCCCTTTTGGAACACAGTGTGGAAAAGGTTTGCCATCACGGGCCTATACTATTTCAGATGAATGACTATCTAGACTTGTCTTAAAAACATCCAGTAGTGGAGCACTCATGATTTCTGAAGGCAAGCTGTTCCACTGGTGAATTGTCCTCACTGTTAGGAAGTTTCTCCTTAATTCCAGGTTGCTTCTCTCTTTGATTAGTTTCCAACCATTGTTTCTTGTCCTGCACTCTGGTGTTTTTGGAGAATAATTTGACCCCCTCTTCTTTGTGGCAGTCCCTCAAGTGCTGGAATACTGCTATCATGTCACCCCTGATTCTTCTTTTCTTTAGAGTAGCCAAACCAAATCCTGCAGCTGTTCTTCATATGTTTTAGTCTCCAAGCCTTTGATCATATTAGTTGCTCCTCTCTGAACTTTTTTCCAAAATCTCGACATCTTTTTGGTAGTATGGTGACCAAAATTGGTTGCAGTATTCAAGGTGTAGTCTTATTAGGGTTTTATAAAGTGGTACTAATACTTCACATGATCTTGATCCTATGCCTCTGTTTACACAACCCAGGATTGTATTAGCTTTTTTGGCTGCTGCTGCACACTGCTGGCTCATATTCAAATGATTATCCATGAAGACTCCAAGGTCCCTGTCACAAAGACCTATTTTTGAGCCAGGTCTTGCCTAATCTGTACTTATACCTTTGATTTTTCCTGCCTAAATATAAAACATTGGTTTTCTCCACATTGAAATTCATTTTGTTGGAGAGGGCCGATTGTTCAAGGTTGTCAAGATCTTGAGCTTCTGTTCTGGGGTGTTGGCTATTTCTGCCAATTTAGTGTCATCTGCAAATTTGATGAGTTCCCCTTCTATTCCCTCATCTAAGTCATTTATGAAGATATTGAAGAGTGCTGGGTGTAAGACAGAGCCTTGTGGTACTCCACTACTTCTCTCCATGTGAATGTGGTATCATTAAGGATTAAGGTATCATCGTTGAGTATGGTTTGTCAGCAGCTAAAAATACATCTGATGGTGATATTGTCTATTCCACACTTTTCTAACTTACCAAGAAGTCCAACCGACTGCTTTACTTTGTCAAATGCCTTACTGAAATCTAAGTATACTATGTCCATAGCATTTCGTTGGTTACTAATTTAGTGACTTTATAAAAGAATGAGATAAGATTGGATTGGCATGATCTGTTTTTAACAAACCTATGTCTGGCTACCCGTTCTAACATTTTGCTGACTAATGCTGAGAAATATTTGGAGTCAATTCTGACATGGTTGGGTTATTGTTGTCAAGTTCCCTCTTTCTAAGCTTTTATACTGAGATTTGTTCAGAAACACAATTACAAAATATAAGTAAAAAAGCAATTGAAACTATGTCCTATATTGTTTTATATCTTTAAATATCTACTTACTACAAAAAATGATTGTGGGGTTCTATTTTCCTTTTTTCTCCAGTATGAGGCTGGCAGGGAATTTAGAAGTTAGGCTTCTATAAGTTGTGTTCTTTTTTTCCTATATCCATATTAATACTGTTATTAAGATTAGACAGAACAAATTGTTTAAGTTGGCATATGAGAGCAAAGGTTTTTTTAATGAAGCTTTTAAGTTGCACAAGAATTTCCAAGCTGCTGGTAAGTCAGTAAACATAAGAAACTTCCTGGAAGAGGATGTTTTGTATTTCTCTACAGAGGACCCCTGTAGGCAGGCGTCAGATATTTTCCTCAGCTCATTAATTTTTAATTGTTAATTTTAATCAGTTTAATGATTGTTAATTGCTTAAACAAGGCTATTACAGTCTCAGCAGATAAAACACAGTTAAAATGTTATCTGGACAGAAAAAAATTCAACAAGATTTGGCAGTTAGAATGTTATTTTAACTTTTTAAAATTATTATTGCTTTTAAAATATTAATACAAATAAAAGAAAGAAACAAAACACAAAGATATAACATATTCTATCTGTCTTCATTCTATATGTCTCAATGACTACTAACAATATTTGTTAACACTATGGAACAGCAGTGCTTTCTGCTTTTTTAAAGTGTAATTTTTTAATTTTAAAGTTGTAATTTCAAATGGTGATTAAATGAATGGTTGTAAGTCTGTAATCTATATTATATCTTATGTATTGATTTTTTTTCCTGATATATCTTTTTCACTTATTTCTAAGCACTTGTTATTTTGAGAATGTTATTTTAACTTTCCAGCTGGACTGTTACAAGCATAGGTACATATGCTATTTTCAGAGCAAACAATATGCTTACTAGAACCAATGTCCTAGAAGAAAATAAGAAGTTGAATGGTTTATATATAGGTATTGTATGACTTATAACCATAATTGAGCCCAACATTTCTGTTACTGAGATATTTGTTAAGTGAGTTTTGTCGCATTTTACAATCTTTCCTGCCATAGTTATTAAGCTAGTAACATGGTTATTAAGTGAATCTGGCTTCCACATTGACTGCTTGTCAGAAGGTTGCAAAAGATGATCATATGACCTTGGGCCACTGCACCTGTCATAAATATGAGTCAGCTGCCAAGTATCTGAATTTTGATCATATGACCATGAGAATGCCCCAGTGTCTGTAAGTGTGAAAAATGGTCATAAGTCACATACAGAGTGCGCTTGTAACTTCAGTCACTAAATAAATTGTTGTAAATTGAGGACTACCTGTATCCTGCTAAATTATAATGTTCTTTTACTTTGGATTTAATCTGTGTGGACTAATTCAACAAAACTTGGTTTAAATCATGGGTTATTATGAGTCACATATGAATTTACCTTATTGGGTATGAACTGAAAAACCATATAAATGAAACAGAAGACAAAGTCTTTTTACAAAATGTATGATCCCCGTGCTCTTGGCCTGGTTCACACCAGACTTAACTGATTTGCCTATTCCTCCACAGATGATACATTTGCAGCCTGGGGCATCAGACAACCTGCAGGGCAGTTGCCTGTTTTATTGTGTAGTGCTGATAGATTCACTTTTTATTACATTGGGTTAATTGTAGAATATTAAGACAGATGTTATATAAATTAGAGGAATGTTCTAGATTTAACAGTCCATTTTTCCCCCAAATTAAATTTAATTTGTACTGGTCAGTCAGAATCACTTATATGCTAATTGTTACAATGTAATAACCAGATTTGCCTGTTGGAAAATGGATAATCTTGTGCAATTCAACAAAAACGACTGAAATGTACAGGATGGCTGTTCATTTTCTTAATTGCCCTTTTTATAATGCTCCATCCCTTAACTGAATTATCAACAATCTGAAGAATACTATTACTCTCACTTTGAGAATATGTATTCTAGAATCCATTGCCTTAAAGAATTTGTCTTTGTGGAGAGTCTAAATGGTTAGGAGATCATCAGCCTTTGATGAAAATTGCCTTACTTGCACTGCTATTCTTCACAGGTAAATTTAATCCTGATTCAGTGGAGAATTGGGGAGTCCTTGGCAATATCGCTCATTTCTGAGCCCAGGCGAATCCATGGGGTTTTAGCAGAGAAACATACCTTCGATCACTCAAGTGGAAGAGAGAGGAGAGATATTCAGTGCCAAGTTGGGCACTATCTTCACCCAAATGGAACTCACTGCTGTATTAAGTGCCACAAAGGTATTCTAATTTATACTCCATTCATTTGTTTGCATTTTTGTGTTTTCAGGATTCTTATCCCTGAAAGATGTTATCTGGTACATTTCCTTTTAAACTTCAACTCTCATGTATAATATTGGGAAGAAATCTTTTGTAGCAACTGACAGCTTTCTAGTGAAGAAGGTATAGTGGTATCCCTCTTGTGTATGTATATCACATAAATATTAAGTAAAGTAGCTATATATCTATGACTGAGTTTACACATTACATTTAAGTATAGCATGGTTATTTGTTTAAAACAAGGTGAAAAGTGACAACCTGGCCTATTGGTTTGTAAACAGTGTTTTATAGCTTAATATAATGTAGGAAACATTAACTTGTGGTTTATTCAACAAAACATTACTAACATTTTTATTTTGTACAATTGCATCTTTGCACATGCTATGAGTTTGTGCTAGTATATTATATATTGAGGAGATGGAGCAAAAGTATGATTGCTTGTACAGAATAGTACAAACATCCTCAGAGTAAACTTAAGGTATGACACTGCTACCCCAAAAATGCCAAAATTGACAGGTTACTTTAAACGAGGAATACTGTATTTGCCATAGTATGACTAACTAACAAGTTCTCTCTCTTATTCATAAGTATTATATGAAAATATCCACTCTAGTAGGTAAGAACATTTTATTTTGAATTAAAAAGGGATCTTAATAGGTGGATGAAAAAATGCTAGGTCTATGGGGAAGAATTAGTATAGTGAGACTGAATATTACATTAAGATTGATTCAAAATCTGAAAGCACTGCCTGTTGCTTCCATGTAATTCTTTTATCCAGATTTGAATATTAATATATTAAACTTTTATAGAAGGAAGAAACATCAAGGAAATTGCTGTCCAAGTTATAGCTCGCATATAGAATAGAATAGAATAGAATAGAATAGAATAGAATAGAATAGAATAGAATAGAATAGAATAG